GTCCCTGGCACCAAAAAGGTGGAGAAAGGCCCCATGTACCTCAATAAACCTTGGACCCTCCAAAGCCCAGACCTTGTGCCAGTTCCAGGAGAGCTCTTGGAGTCCGTGGTTGATCGTGACCTGCGCTTGCTGCTGCCAGACACAGGCCTGCGGACRTTCATGGCCTATGTGGAGCGAGGCYTGAGGGCAGACTGCAGCCTGCCCCAGCTCCAGCTGTCCTGTGCCACGATGGTCTCCGAGACTGGGCTTCTGCTAAAGGTGCTCAGCGAGAGGCAAGAGACCCAGGGAGCCTCTGATCACATGGGTCAGTGTCCTCTGCAAGAGAACTTCTCCAGACGCATGGCCTTGGGGGAGGGCAATGAACCCACACGAAAGGTAGGAGAGGAGCTGGGCACTGCCCTATGTGTCCTTCTGGGCAAGAGAGAACAGAAGGAGCAATCCTCTTCTCCCCATTATCTTGTTTCCCTTACTCTGAGCAGAAACCAGAGCACAGAGAGGACATGATCATGTTTGTGGTTTTGCTGTCTCTCTTCATTGTCGTTGGAGTGATGCTGAAGGCTTCCATCCACGTAAGCCAATCTCTTGTYTGACACACAGCYGTCTGTCTTGTAGCTGAGGTGCCAAGGTGACCAGCCCTGGGTGCTGCTGCAGATGCCCYTGCATGTRCTGGGTACCCCAGGAGATGTTTCTCCAAGCCTGGAGCTCCTGGCAGCATCCCCAGCTCAGCAGGTTCAGCCTGCCTGGGGGAAGTTTGCCCTGCCTTCTTGCCTCCCCAGCTTTGCTTTGCCCTCCTKCCTTCAGCCAGCAGCAATGAGAGCTTTTGGCCTCTCCTGTTTGGCTGAATATTATAGGAAAGCTGATGTTACAAAGTCTCCCATTCTCCATCCCCAGCTGCGCTTCCTACCTCGTGAAGATGATTCCAAACATGTCCAGAGCAGCAAATCATGCCTGAGAAGGTAACTGCCCCCTCCCTGCCTGTGCCATTCCTGTGCTACCCAGACTCCTCTACAAGAGCAGCTCCTCCCTGAGCCCCACAGCCATGCGGGTGCTGCTGCTGAGGACTCCCCCGGCCCTGTTTCACACACGTCAC